GTAATCACCTGTGTGGGTTACTGATAGCTCATGTCCGCTGAATCCCGTAACGCTTCGATGTTGAGGTAGTTCTGAAGTGGTGAGAGTTGAGGTTGAGATGAATTTCTTACTCACTGCTTCATGGGTAGCTCCGCTATCCAATAAGGCTCTGGCAGGTTTAGTTGTGGCATTTTTTGGGTCATAAAGTAAAACATCATTAATGATACGAGTATCATGCATTTCAAGGCTATCAATAATATTTTCTTCAACTCCTAATTTAATGGTATGTGAGCTCGAGGTAGGCACAACTTTCAGACTCGAGCTTCTCCATTTTTTGACTTGTCACTCCTTCCATCTTCCTTCGCTTCTACATCATTCTTCTCTAATTTAGCATCTAACTTGTCAATCTTAGCCTGTAATCTAGTTTCTAATTCGCTAACTCTTGAATGACCTCTAAAGCTCCTAGCACCTGAATACCCTCCTCTGTTCCTTCTCTTTTTCACTTCAGCACAGTTCGCTATCATATGATCTGTTTTCCCACAACCATAACAGCTCCCACTCATCCCTCTTCTACGATACTCATCACCTGAGATGTTTAACCTATATGCCGAGCAATCCATGGCATCTGGGTCGATTGCTGCTGTTGTACTGGTCGGCGAGATTGAAGAGGAGTGATTATTCGTTGTGGAATCATAGTGTCGTTTGTGTATCTTGTTGTCCAACTTAATAGCCACCTTCGCCATCTCTTCCACTGTCTTGAACTCATCTCTGATCATGTATACAGCTACTTCCGTCTTCAAACCTTGCTCAAACTGAGATAATAGAATGTCTTCGGGCCATTTGATTACCAATGATAGCTCCGAAAATCGAATCCAATAATCAGCAACAGTCTTTGTTTGCTTGAGTGATCTCATCTCTTTCTCCGCTTTCACTATTCTCTCTCCATCAAAAAATGTAGCTTTAAATGAATCAACAAATCTTTGCCAAGTAACTAGGTGAGCTCTTTCACTGTCTAAGATTTGGTCCGTTAAGGCCTGACTCCAGATGTTTGCTTTACCCGTAGTGTACGATAAAGCAAACGCCACTTTGGCTTGTTTGTTTGCAAAGGCCGTTGAGTTAAGCTGCATGTACAGACCAAGTTGATTCATAAATATCTCAGCTTTTGATCCTTTCGACCCATCGAACTTGTCCGGCGTCGCAACTTTAGGCGCTCGCTGTTGGGGTTGCGGCTGTTGATTATAATACAACGGTGTTGGCATGGCGGCAGGGATCTCTTGACCGGTTTGAGGTTGTTGAGATCGACCTTGATCCATTGGAATCTGAGCATTCTGCTGAGCCATTTTCATTTGGAGCAATTCCCTTTCAACTTCCTGCCTTCTGGACGTTTCCGATTCCAGTTTTTGATTCAGTTCGTTTAACTGCTTCATAATGTCTTCCAAGTTTACCGACGACATTCCTCCAGCCGTTTCAGTACTATCTGCAAACTTCTCGTCTTCGTCCGAGGACTGATAATCGTCAGGAGCTTTGAAATTAGGCGTTTTGAATAGAGTTTCGGAGTTACAGCGGAAATAGATTCGAGATTATTGCGGGGTATTGATTTTAATAGATCTGTAGTGAGCGGATGAGACTTTTAAGCTTTAGGACTTCGACTTTCTCCTTTTCTACTTTAATTAGATGCTTGAAATAAACTTTTCAACTTGATTCGTGTGACTTTTGAATTCTATTTTTCTTTCCTTCTTATTCTTTTCTTTTTCAAATTCTTTAATTCTTTTTCTTAAATTGATTTAGTGATTTCTTGATGTTCTTTGTCTTGTGGCTTCTATCCCTCTTGTAGGTAGACGTTGCAATATGTTAGGAATGGCTTAGAGAGATAGAGCAAGGATAGTGATGCTGGTATGATGATATTGCAACGTGAGGAAAGAAGAGTCTGTCCTCCTTCCGCAGAGCTAGTATAGAAACCCAGATGACACAGTACAAGCATAACTCAATATAGGGCTCATTACAACAAGTTCCGTATAAGACACTTAAAGCAAACTACACTGGTCTTGACGAGAACAAGAACTGACCTGCAAGCTCGAATGAAAAGAGAGCACGACGGGAAAGGGTGAGTTAACAGACAAATAGATTGATTTGATTCTTTTCAATACCCACCTGAGGGCAAAAGTTCCGTATAAGACACTTGAAGCAAACTACGCTGGTCTTGACGAGAACAAGAACTGACCTACAGAGGTTCAGTGGGAGCAGAAAAAGACAAAGATAGAAAAACTTTTAGAAAACTTAAAACACGCAACAGTGAAACAAAAGATAAACTATATCTACCTGCAAGCTCAAATGAAAAGAGAGCAAAACAGGACAGGGTGGCAGCCCTGAGTACTAAACCAGCGTACCAATGGGCGACAAATATAATAAATACCTTAAAAACAGCAATTACAACTCAAGGCTCAGTTTCAAGAGTCAAGTTACATATGATTTGGCATATGTAACATGTGCAAAACTTACATCAAAGAGTGTGTACGTACACAAATTTGATGTGAACCAAAGCTACATATATTTCACAGATGTAACATGTATGTAACAAGTGAAATATACTTATAACCCAATAGTAACCGTGTTACTGTAATTAACCTAACCTTAGAACCACAATTTGTGCGCACTTGTAGTCCAAAGATTCCCAGGGTTCAGACTATATAAACCCTGAAGATCCCACCAGTTTTGAATCATCACATTATTATTCAACAACCTTACAATTTGCTCACTTCATCTTCCTAGAACTTTTAAACTTTGTCTAACATCTACAAAATTCAAAAGCTTGATTCTACAAACCTTGAATCCTCAACCTTGTGTCTTGTTGACTTTATTGTGTCTGCATCAACCCTTCTTTCTGTCTGATTAGATTCCATCATCAGTAGTTTTCATGATAATATCCATACAGTGGAATTACATATAAGGAAGTAGTCCTTGAGTGCTGCTTATATAAGATTTGGGATTCATCTGATATAAGAAACTCTTAATCTACGGGGAAATCTATATTAGTCAGAGTGTAAAGTTCCGGGTGTTAAAAAGGACTTTAACACCACCTTATTTGACCTTTCTTTGAATAAGAAGAGGATCATTTTAGGATTGAGAACTGAGTGTCAGTTGCTCTTATCTTTAATTATTGCAAGGACAATAATTAACCCAAAATCCGCGGGCTAAATCCTTTGTTCAAAGGTCAACTAACTGGAGTCTTTACTTGTTTATTCCAAGTAAAGCTCCTACGCCCACGTCTTTACCTGCTCAAACTTGTGGATACTAATCCCCACAAGTCTAGTAGAAGTTTGTTTAAACTCCTATCCTCTTTTTTATTGAATCTACTAGCCCAACAGATGCTAGTAGGCTCACACAGGGTGAGTTAACAGACAAATAGATTGATTCTGGAACGTAACCCAAGATAAAAGATAAAGTAGAGTAATGAAGTCAGTAACAAAATAAAGAGAACAATTTGATGATGGAATGAACTTACTGATTCCTTTCAATAAGAAAAGAATCAGAACAGAAAGTGGGAGAAAGTTGAGAGGAAATAAAGAGATCCTTGAAATTTTTGATTCCCCCCTTGATTCAACGTGTCACCCCTTTCCTGCACAGTTTTCCACTAACACCCAAATACACTAAGCGATCAACCTCAACAACCTTAACCCCCAACACCCACTTCAACAAATACCACAATAGGTAATGAGCTTTGACCATTCAGCAATCTTAACATCTTAACACACTAATAACACAACAAGTATGTATTACACCTCCACCTCTTCTGAACGGTGACCCTTCTCGGCTGACTATGTATCTTCATGATACTGCTGACTCTATACCTCAAGATTGAATTAAAAACTCCTGAAACCCCTTGCTGGCACTAGATTCCAATAGATAAGCTTACTTTTTGTACCAAGAGCCTCCCCTTGCTCCCTGCCACTTCTGAGTCCTGACTTCAGGCACCTGGCTCATTTGGCGGCTCAGGAAATGTTCTAGGGCCTGAAATATTATATCCTTCCTGATCTGGTGGTTGTGTGAGGCTTGAGGTCAATTTGATTTGTTTGGCCTCTGAATTCTCACTTACCCTGTAACAGGGAAATTGGTGTCTTTTTCAGGAACAACTACATCATCTATCACGTACAAATGTGGTACCTTATTTTTGTATGTGTACACTTTTCAAGTTTGGGGCTCTGAATTCCAAATTCTGCCTGAACCGTGTTCTAGCAATTTAGGAAAGGATACAAGCAAGATCATAACCAATTCCTGTTGAAAAAATTGAGAGTCCACTATGAAAGAACTGTTTTTCACAAGTAGAAACATCAGATAAATTTTGTGTAGGACCAAAGCATTATGTGAAAAATATTGATATCATCACATTATAATTACAGCCTTTTGTGATCAAATGTGACATATATAGTTGTTTAGTCACAGAAAAATATCATCCACATAAACTTCTCATCATGGGGGTTGTTCAAGAAGTTTGGGATCATTGAAGGAAAAGGGTCTCTGGGTGACTATCTGCATGGTACATATAAACAACACGACAAGCTCAAGCAGCCCAAGAAGAGGTAAAAAAGCAAGGATTAATGTAAAATAACCACATACTAAGAGTTACTGATTCAGATCTCAATTTAGGGTGCCTTGGAAGATAAACAATATGATTTCTGTGTTGATTATGTTTGCAATCAAAGTGTGATAGTGACATCAATCCTGCTTATTCACAATGCATACATTGCAATTCTTTCAACCCTGGTAGACTAAAATGTTACACAAAAGGTCTTCACAGCTAAAATGTGACAAAGAGGACTGAGGTAAATTTCTTGAACTTTCTACTTGTCATGTCAAAGGTTACAAGCTCATAAATATACAGCATAAATACAAATGATATCAGAATTGTCCAAAAAATACAATAGTCCCAAATATTTGGGCAGATTTGATCAACAAATCTGGATATTTTAAAGCCCAAGATGGTTGGGCATATTTGATCAACAAATCTAGGATTTTCAAGTTGTCTATAGTAGTCCGAACCCACATCCACCTGGTGGTTTTCCCTTCAACTCAGATCCTGCCTTGGGAGTGACGTTTTGAACATACTTCACGTTCTAAAATTAAAATGTAATATAAGTATCCAATCAAATGTAGATCCTTGGAGAAAAACCTCAGACAAGAAGAAATTGATATCATAAACAATTTTACTAACTTTAAATTCTTCAAGTACTTTCTCAGTCTTTCCAAACTTTATTTTACCTACTTTGGTATCCTTTTTCTTATTTTCCATCATATTAGGAGCACAGTCTCTTCCAATATGGGATTTGCACTTCTGAGTCTCTTCGGATGTGAAAGGAATATAAGCTGAACCTCCATCTTCTGTCTTTGTTTGATCTTTATGGTCTGCATAAACTTCTTTGAAAAAATTTCCTTCTGCCAGGATATTCCCTCCATTAACCTCAAAAGTTGAACCTCTGACAGATAGCGACGGAAAACTATGTCAGTGATAATCCCAAGATTACCCATGTTTCTTGGATTTGAGTTGTCTAACTTACACGCAATTTGAATGTACATTGTTATAGCTTCAAAAGAAATCCATCATTGTCAGTCAAAGGACCTTGCAGGATTTCGAGTTGTGCAAAAACATTGCCGCCGGCATAACCAGAGAACATATACTGACTAGTGAACGTCTACGTTTTTCATTTCTCCAACACCCAACTTGGGACTTCTGCCAGAGGTACTCTCAAAACAACTAATGTAGGTTTTATAGTTGATCAGTAACAGGGACTGAGCACAAGTCTTGTAAGCACAAATTGATCAAATAAAACTCAACTTGTTCGCCATGGTGACTGTAGTGCCATCCCCACTTAGTAATGCAGCCCAATAATGTTGGCTAAATTTTCATTTAAAAAACACAAGGAAGTTGAATCCAATCGCAAAAGGAGAAGCAATATCAGTCACATCAGGAATTATAAGCGGTAAAATCTTTAGGTGGAAAAAAATTCAGGAGAACGGTTGACAAGGACTTACTTGGAACATGAAGTTGACCATTTTGTTCTCCCGTCAAAGTGGTTGTTTGATAGTGTTATCCCAGTTGTCTTATCATGTCCTACAACGACCATTTCTCTTCCGATGAAGCTAAACGTGCAATGATCAACCCAGATCTAAGATGCACGCAGTGATTCATTCAGCATAAAATAACATCCGAATGACATATGTTGATAATCCCTTACATTTTTACCGCTATCTATAGAGATAGCGTCACCTCCCCAAACCTAAGATGTAATTCTCAGTCTCTGTCGAGGTCCATGGGCTGCATAACACTCGTGAAGAAATCACGTACCAGGTGTGGGTTTAGATAAGTAATATGGATATTCTGGTATCGGTAGATGATTGGTAGATGATTGATCATCAGCTGTTTGAAACATTCAGATTCACAGTGAAAAGTTATGATGAATTGGTCTCTTACCTGAATAATGACGTTGCTCGATCTTGCCATACGTAGACTGATGAAGAGACAATGGGATAGATTGATCAAACTTTCACTTCTCGTGACAAAATTCAAAGAAAATAATTACCCTTTTCCTTTGATAACTCCATTCTTTCCAATACCTCGAATAGTTTTATCGCTTTTAACTTCCAGACCGTCAATTCCGGCTGCATCATAAGTAACTTGAGTCTCCTTTCCCTGTTGCATTTCAAGCAACAAACGTCAATCTGCCGATTCATTCTCAAATAGAAATCAAAAATCCGCACCTGCTTCCAACTGTCCTCGCACCAATCACCTAAACACAGAGAAAAAAGTGTAAGGATAGCATCACAATCAAAAATCAATTCCACTGATTTCCATGACTCAATTCCCCCAACACTATTCAAAACGAGAGTTAATCTCACCAGCATTCCTAGCGTGCTGAACCATATTGCCATTCTTACATGATGACCAGGGAGCACTATAATGTTCAAGACAATAGAAATAACTCATTTCATTGAATGCCTGCGGCCACACTTGGGAGAATGAGCTATCATAAAACGGATACTCATACTTACCAGCCTTTTTCGGTTTTGTTTCCCTTGGTATTCGTAAAGTCGAAGGTACGATCAATCAAAATCACTCGGGGCTTATCGTCCTTTAATAAGGATTCAAGCTCCTCTATAGATTTCGGAGTATCTGGTTTTGCATTCCCACCTCCTGTAGTCTCTGAACCATAACCAAATGGAGTTGGTAAATCATTACCCTGAGGCTGTGGGCGAGCACTGGTAAGGATAAATAAAGCGGAACAGCTTAAAATAAACGATTTGTAACTGGTTGAGAGCATGTTTAATAGGATAACTGATCCTCAATAGATATATAAGAAGGGGAATGAAGTTAAGATTCCTTGAATGAGTGAAGTGCCTTTATAGCTTTGAGAGCAATCCGAGCTGACATCATTTTCTTGACGAGTGTGCGTGTCATCCATGTTAACCTGGCTTCGAACGGAACGAGTGAGATCCAGCAGGATCCAGTTGACAAAGACCTTATATCTAAGCGACGGACGTCGGGGGACGGCTAGGTCCAGGATCCTGAATGTCGCCCTTTTCACAGGTTTTCACTATGACTCATAACCAGTCAGAGCTATATATATCCAATAGCATCGATATCACTCGTATCTGTTCCTTTTTCAAGGTTCGGTCTCACTTTATGTGAGTGACTAACTTTTGAATACGAAGGTGCCTGCAAAGCCGGCCAAACGAAGAGTGATGATGATATGACGACAACCTGTCCCGGCGATATGTGAAGGATTCAGCGAGTAGAAAGCTCGATCGAAGACAGCTACCGCCAACTTGCCGAGGGTGAGTTTCTCAAACCATCTCAGAGTCAGTTGGGATAGGTTAGTATACAGCTCACTACATCATCCGCCCCACCTCGATGAAACGCAGAATCTTGAAGAGCCAGGGGATCCACGGCCTTGGAGAGGAGCTCCATAATCAAAGCACCCAAGACGAACTTGAAAGAATAACAGAAGACGCGATCCAAAGGAATTGAATTGCTGAGGAATTTGAAACGCTGGCCTGATTGAGGGGAGCAGGTAGGAAAAGGCTGCACTGTCTTCCTTTATTCATCCTCGTTGAAGACTCCTCAATATCTGGTCCTGTCACCCAGTGCTGTGAGTACCCGCGAACATAACAGTTTGATTCCCGTGCCGAGTTGTACTGGTAAGCGTTCATCCGAAAGCTTATCAACTCCAACGGTCAACAAGAACGGTAGCGTGATGATAGCCGTTGACCGTTTGGTAACCTATATGATATGGGCTCCAAGGTCAATGACCTTCAATACCACCTACTCTATCCTTCAATCAACACTCCAGGCTCCATAGGACTCCGAGCTCCAAGTTCAATGCAAACTAAGAATTCCTTTCATATAGGGTATACAAAGTTGTTCTGGCAATTTCCAGAAGGTTATTTCCAGAACGCCAGAACCCTTCTGGCAGCGTCCTGGCGTTCTGGAAAACACAACAACTCATCATGCCACCACCCCACCTCGAGCCCACCGAAGAAGATCAAGTTATCACAACATCGACTTTAGGAATTTACCCATCTGCACTTCAGGCCTTCCGGTCGACTTTCAAATTGAACTCCAGATCACCAAACTTCTGTATGCAACCCATTCCAGATATCAAGATCGGCTTCGAATCACGCTCGTTCTAAACTCTTAAATGCTCATTCGCCGTGAATCGATCGATACACCGAGACAAAGCTCTCACTGCAATTCAATTGATACACAGGGGTGCTTTTATGCTTATGATTTTCATCCATTTTCTCTAGGTTTTCAAGCACAACAGTCGATCTAAGCGGATTCATTTCATAATCGTATTGAGAATAGTCTCAATTTGTACTTTTTGTCAAGTTTCAACATTCTTCAAGTCTCACTTTGTACAGTGCCCTCCAAAAATTTTACGTACAGTGCACATCTGCTCTGTATGTAGGGTCATCAAAAATGTTTCAAAGGGACCAATAACTACACTCTTGATGACAAACTTTTTTGCAATGCATTTCTAAGCATTCTTCTCACTATGGGCAGTGCTCAGGCTATGTATTTAGAACAACATATTGCAGTAGAATCAAAGCAGAATCACCACCGAGTTGCACCCCCTTTAGCTTTTATCACCGCTCGAATCCGTTCAGGCATTGAAGCAACAAGTGACTTGAGCTTGCTTTCTGGGATAGCCATCCACTTAGACACCAGAAGATGATACATCTCTTGTTGAGACTTTGGTCGCTTTTCCTTGGAAATCGAGCTCTTGAGGATCTTCCAAAGGTTCTCGATCGGGTTGAGATCCGGACTGTTTGCAGGCCAGTCCAACTTGAGGATTGAATGACTGGCATGCCATTCCTTTGAAGCCTGACTCCGATGAACTGGAGCACCATCCTCCATCAAGATGAGGTTAGAAGGACAGCAAGGATGGGTCACAAAAGGTTTCAAAGCCCGCTCGTAGACAACCGAGATGAAGTCGGAAGAAGAACGTCGTCCAGGTGGAATTAAGACAAGAGGAAGCTTGCAAAATGAAGTAAAAGCACCCCAGACCATGACTGAAGATCGACCACTTCGGAAACTCGGGGTGAGACAATCCAATTCAAACTTTTCATTACTCTTTCGCCACACTCGCACTGGGCCTGACATCTTTCCAATCTCAAATGATGACTCATCAGTCCAAATCACTCGTTCCCAGTCCTCCACCGTCCAATCTTTGTATGCTAGAGCAAAACCTAATCGTTTCCGACGATGTTGAGCACTCAGGTAAGGCTTTTTGACTGCAATGCGAGAATTGAAACCAAGGTCTTTGATCTCGGCTCTAAGAGTGTTATGACAGACTCGAGTTGGGATCTGAGCTGAGATTTCCGAAAGTGTACTCCGCCTATCTTTCCTCAAGGTTCGTTTTAGAGTTCTTCGATCGCGATCGGTGAGCTTCTTGGGTCTACCAGCGTGACTCTGAGGGTTGGTGGTGGTGTTCTTTTGGTAGTTTGAAAGCACTGTTGAAACTGTTGATCGAGGATGGTTCAGTTTCTTTGCAATTTGACCCATTGTGAGCCCAGACTTCCTTGCCCCAACTATTTCAGCCCTCTCCTCGGATGTCAGGGATCGTGTCTTCATGATTTGGTGTTGATGGGAGACGGTGTGATATTGTATTGAACTCTTATTTGTAGCACTAGTACTTCAACACAGAGCTGTATTTACAAAACTGTACGTAAAATTTTTGGAGGGCACTGTACTCGTTGTTGAGTTTCAAAGGTTTCTCAAAAATAATCAAGATGTGTCATCAACTCGATTATTGTTGTCTTACCTATATCGTTGTGTCTCAAACTTTTCCGAATGAAAAAGAATGTTATCTTGATTTCTTTTGTTCTTTTGAAATCGATCGTCAGTCTGTGTTTGTTTCTAATGAGCGAACAAATTCAGAGCTTGTTTCCATGAAAGTCTGATAGAAAAATCTGACTATGCAAATGGATTTTTAGATATACACCCGGCAGGAGTCTCTTTGAGAGATGCATGTTTTGTTTTTTCATTCATCTCATCAAAAAGGAACAAGACCTCCTTCAAACCAAAATGTATTTCAAGTGTATATATCTTACAGAATCTTTTGAGTTCGATCTTAAGCCTAAATTGGTGGAGACATTAAAGTGATTATAGTCGGTTTTTTGAGCTATTGCGGGAGGAATGGCATGTAGAGCAGAATTGAGATGTGAGAACGGAAGTGCTGAGATGAGAGAGAGACAAGATCTGGTTTCTGAGGGGATGAGGGGAGTGCCAGCGGTAGTGTACTCGGGAGCGTAACAGTATCAGTCTTTTTCTGAGACTCTGATGCTCTGAGACTCCTCTGAGACTCCTCTGAGACTCCCTCTCAGCTACAGAAAATAGTGGCTTTGTGTACACCCGTCATACAGTGTGGTCAAGAATGGTGGCACAGGGTGGCACTCCATAGTTCATTATTTGTTTCTCAACTCAGCTCAAGTTTCAACTCTCGTTGTATTTTCTTACATGGTCACAATCGATCATGATCATCCTAAAAATCTTGTCATTTCCTCATCTGACAGATCAACGTAAGAATAGATGATAAAAAGATGAATTGAAATTTGAGGTTTTTTATATTTTCATGTTCAATCGGATCAGACTCAGAGCGACTTCAAGATGAACTTCAGTAATCTGTTCCTCAGCATTTTCTTTTGGAGCGATCAAGTATTTTAGTTCCTTATTTTAATCTTCTTTATATTGTCTCTTTCACTTCGCTCGATTCGCGTCTTGGTAGGGAAACCCAGACCACGACCCGTACGATGACCAAAAGACAGAATTTGACAAAATCTTCAACATGAAGCTGAGTCCAGATTCCAGATGTTACATCCTGGAGAGTCTTTGAAAAGGTTTTGAAAAGCATGAATCGAGTACAATGAAGGGGCTTGGACTTGAAGTTGTAAAGGAGCAAAACTTGGATGATCTGGACTGAAATTTGTCACCTCTTACTCGTCCAAGATATGTTATATCTTTGACACCTTCTCTTCAACGGCTTCTTATAAAGCTGAAATGTTGTAAGTGTTTTCCATTAGGGTGTCCTTTTCATTACAATTGGCTCGTTTGGAGCGATTAATCCTTTTGATCATCTTTTTATCTCTTTTATTGTTTCTCTTGCTTCATTCGATTTGTCACTTTGTAGCTCTAGTTTTCACAGAGCTTATAAGTGACTGTGCGGCTCGCACTCTTGCTGACTCAACCTCTTGATTTGATGTTTTGATCAAATTAACGTAAGTTATTTGTCTTCCATTTCCTAACTTTCCTTTAAATTGTTCTGATCGTTCTGATCCGCCAATTGTACAAAATACCTGTGTACAGGCTTAGAATTTCGGCGATTCAAAACAAAACACGCCTCTCGAAAACAAGCGCCACTCGAGAAAAAATTATACTACCCCTGTATGCCCCAGGGCTCGTCTCAGGCAGTCTCAGAAAAAGACTGATACCGCATCTCTCCGGTGTACTCAGGCTTCTGGAATTCTGGAGTGTGGGGCATTCAAAGTTGCAGAACACCAGAACGCCAGAACACACCAAAAAAAAAACTTCTGGCGTTCTGGAAAAAGCCTTCTGGAAATTTCCAGAACAACTTTGTATACCCTAATATTACATATCTCAGATTTCAATTTCTATTCTGTTTGAGGAGCCGCCAGCAACCTCGTCTGCTACCTGGGCCATCGAGAATGAGCAAACCTTGCCAAGGAAGATAATCAAACAAGACAAACTTGATAGTCATCCAGATTCTCCAACAATCGATCATTACACAAGGCCTTGCATTCCAATATGTGCTATGGTTTAGTAGCTAAAGCGTCTCTTCTACTCATTGCCAGGTAGGTTCCTTGAGCTTGGATAGATTCAATATAAAATTTGATGATTCAATCATTTTGATATCTTAATAAGAAAGACGAAAGAAGAAGGAGGCGAGAAAAGAGAGCCAGGAGGGCGTTGGAGTCTGCGACTTGAGGCTCCAAGGAGAGCAATATTGAATGAATCATCGGTTGATAAAGTTGACACATCAAGGCTAGATAGACTTTCTGTTACCAATAGGCCTCATACTAACTCAAGTCATTGAACCCATCATATACATAGCTTTTACATTTGGTTTCAGCAGTCAAGTCCGAAATATCTGTTCGAATCAACAGCCTCAATGTCATCAATCATCAGCCGCCATGTCAGGCAGTATTACCAAGCTTGACCGCCAATGCTAGCTCTTTTGGCCCTTCTTCTTAACCGCGCACGTTCCATGACAGTAATGACTTGATAATTGTGTACTACAATAGTTTGAATGTTAACATTTTCGGCTCATGAGGCTTATGATCAGCAGTATCTCCAACATTGTGCCAGTTGTTCTCAGTTCGAGTGAAGTACGGATGAACATATATAATGATCACAAGAAAAATCTGTCACAATTACATTTCTTTCAGTCAAAAAGTGGTTCCAAGCCACTGAAGCCGGCCTGATATTACATGTTCAGACAAAGGTCCAGCTTGTCGAGCAGCCATAAAAATCCACCACCACCGCTGAATCTGCACAGCGCGAGCCGTAAGACACGGACGTTGAATAACCTTTTGGCTATATGCACCTTTCAAGATCGCTTTCTCCGACTCGATTGTGGGGCCTTTTTCGGTTCCTGAGCCGAACATTCGGGACAAAACCATTTACCAGTCGGAGTCTCCTTCATTTCCAAACAAGGAACATGAAACCACTCATATCGGCAAGTCTTGTTATCGCATCCAATCATCTACCAACGACAAACACCCAAGTCAGTTATTCGGTTCCTACATACAAAGAGATAGAACAACATACCTTTCCAAAGGAAACCTTTTGACAGAAACAGTAGAGCGTATCGTCTCCTGCGTTGCTGTCGTCCACTGGGTCAGCTTCTTCATCCTCTAATTCCTCTTCTTCTTGAGGAACTTCAACCGGTGCAGGTGCGATCGGAGCTTTCACGGCGCTTCTAGAGCTTGTCATTCGCCGTTTGTTGTTGCCTGGCAGAATTGCTCGAAAAATGAGTGACTGTATGGTAGGATAAAATGTACATGAAGGGGAATGACTGACCTGGATGCGCCGACGAAGTAGAATCACTCCTTCCCACAGTGGTATTGAGAGTTAAAGGCGTGGGAGTCTCCATTGAATGTTGCTTACGCTCTTTGAATCGTTTGTTGTAAGAGAACAGTCAAGGAGTAAGAGACCAAACTCATCAAGTCATATCGACCAGAAAATCAACTAAGGAAGTGATGACAAACTTTGACGAGACGCTTCGAATCCAGGCGTTTGGGGTTCGATGGCGGTCGAGGATGATACTCCAGCCATCGACTGCATTAATCCAAAATCAAGTCCACTGGCGGACCCAGGTGGCTCTGGAGCATCTTGCTTAAATTCGGGTACCTCCACGCCCGTCAGCTGCTCAAGTCTGGCCAGCTCTTGATTTAACCGATTTAAATGTCTCGAAACCTGAGATACATCGAACGAACCAAAAGAAAACAAAGGCTTTGGTCAGGTTGATAATGATTCGATACAGTTTACATTATAACGTACCAAACTGACTGCTCTCGAAGCAAATTTCTCCTTTTCCAAACTTAATTTGATCGCGTCATCATAATGAGCCAAAGCTCTAGTGACAAGTTGAGGTTCTCTCGAATGATCACTTAAAAGATTATTAGGTGGTTTATGAGCATGTCGGACGATTGAATGTTGTTTAGATGCAGCTTTTCTTCTTGATTCTTCTACAGAATACCATTTACTCTTCGATCCTGATTCACCATTACCAGCTTGTGAAACTGGAGGTTGATCATCTCTTGCAGGTTGTTTGGCATAATCGAGATAAGCGATTTCACAAAGTAAGTGACCCACTTCTGAAGGTAAATTGGAGAGTGAGTCTACAAAGTCCTGTAAAGGATGTTAAGAGGTTAATGATGATCAACTCAAGCGAATCGATGCTCGACCATCTGAAATTGATTCAGACTGTTCACCTGAAGCAAGGTGTGAGTGGCATCCTCCATCTTTCAGGGAAATCGATTGTTTTCAATAACTTCAGGTCAAGTGTTCAAAAAGATACGAATCGATTTGTATAAATTGAAGGGGTTCGAGTTGAGAGAAAGGAACGATGAACTTTGCAAGGACTCGAAGTTGATTGAAGTTGAAGGAGAAGGTCTCATCCGGTACCGAAGTCGATCCGATATTTGTGGCTCGGTACATTCAAGTTGAGGTGGACCGTGGAAATCACATCTCGGATCGAGGCGATAACTCGAGTTTGCCTGAGACTTCGGTTAAATCAAAGTCATCATCCCTCATCATCCTCATCAAGTGGATTCGATCAGCTATTTAATCAGACAACCAGAGTCAATCCATCAAGACATACCACATCAAAACCCACTCACTTCAGCGAGGGGTTAAAATTGTGATGAACTATTTCCAACTAGGTCTACTATTTTGCGTTTTCACAGGAAGAACTTCAATTGCATTCACTTTCAATCTCACCCATCAAGATCCAGCGCCTATCTCTCTCATCAGAGATCCCTTCACCGTAGATCTCGATCGACCACACAAAAGACCCGACAAATGTCCACCTTGTCCTGAATGCTTCAACTGTCAATTACCACGTTTTCCTTGTAAACAGTATGGAACTTGTAACGAATATGATGGACAATGCAAATGTCCACCTGGGTTTGGTGGTCAGGATTGCGGTCAACCTTGTTAGTTCTGGTAATTCAACTTCGTCCAATACCAGGGCATAAAACGCAGATGATTCTATCTAACGATACTTGTCACTTTTGTTTGAAAATAGTATGCGGCAGTCTTGCAGATGGAGAGAAACGGCACCCGCGTCCAGAGAATTCAACGAGCTGTGAATGTAAATCAGGTTGGACCGGCATCAATTGCAATGGTATGTCTTTTCTGCCATACATATGACGGTCGCAGCACGATTTCTGACCCTGTGATCGTATTCCAGTATGTGAAACCAATCAGGCTTGTTCGGCTTTGATCCCACCCATCGATTCCAAGACTGGCCGCCTCACCTATCCTCGTACATTGGACTCGGGAATGACAGCTGAAGATCCCGAGGATGGAAATGATACGGATTCTTCGGGTGCAGTTTGCTATAAAGGCGGCTTTGCAGTTGTGAATAATCATCAGATGTGCAATGTGACAAGTTGAGTGCCCGTCCCCTCCTTATCTTACAAGATCAGGAATTATGTTTAATCCCATCATCTGGCGTGTTTTATTTTTTTCCATCATCGATTTATAAAACAGATCGCAAGATCCTCGACATGTTACCGGATCGCCCTCCTCAGGTGTCCTTCACCTGTGATATCAAGAGCGCCGCTTGCCAATTTCAATTTTGGATTGGTGGGATCGAATCATTCTATTGTGCATTTGATCAGTGCAGTCAATCTATTCACGTCGGGTACGAAGGTCAACCGAATGTAACAACCAACGAGTGCTCTAAAATGAAATGCCAGTGTGTGCCTGGTAGGATGCTTTGCGGGGAATCTGGAAGTGTCGGTGGGTGTTCTATTTTCCTAGAATATGATTGGACGGTGGACTATCAATCTCACTTGTTTGTAATTGTAATGATTGATTCTTAGACATTGGCGACTTCCTTCGCGAGGAAATCAAAGGGCCTGGTAAATTCTCGTGCTCTTCAGATGGTCAAGGGTGTAGGTTCGAGGAACCCGCGATGAACTCACTGATCACAGATGTATTTGGAGACACCTATATCACTTTGAATTGTCAATCCGGGGAATGTATGCATTATACTATGGTGCCGGGTTTCAAGATTCCTGAACGACCTGCCAATAATCAGCTTGTTGCTCTCAGTATTGCTTTGACCATCTTATTCGTCATTTTGGCTTCGGCTTGTGAGTTACAATACTGATATACTCATTCTTGACTGGATCTTACTATCATATTGAATGCCCGATTCGTTTACTTGTCTTAGTGTTTTGGTATTGCGGCCGAAATCGATCACACAAGTATCCCGATTATCGTGGACGGATCTCTTTACCAACCGATGAAAATGACCTTTTTAACTCAAATGATGCACCAACTCACCTCACCTTCTCGAACATCTCGTATTCAGTCTCTGGGGGTAAACCAGTGTTGCGACAAGTGTTCGGAAAAGCAAAATCCGGAGAGTTGATGGCAATCATGGGAGCTTCTGGCGCTGGAAAAAGTTCACTATTAGACATACTCGCCAAAAAGCCCAAGAGTGGTACCGTAGAAGGTGACATCTTCATCAACGACCGGCGGATCCCTAATGAAGCATTCAAGAATATCATTGGTTATGTAGATCAAGAAGATACACTGATGAGCACATTGACGGTCTATGAGACGGTTTTATGTTCAGCCATGTTGAGACTACCGCAACAAATGAGTTCACAAGCTAAGAAGATCAGGACTCTTGAAACGTTGGATGAACTAGGAATCCTGCATATTAAAGATGCATTCATCGGTAAGAGTGGACATCGATCGATCTCTGGCGGGGAGAAAAGAAGAGTGTCGATCGCATGCGAATTAGTCACGAGTCCTAAAATACTCTTTCTCGATGAACCGACTAGTGGCCTAGATTCTTTCAACGCTTACAACGTTGTCGAATCACTCGCTAAGCTAGCCCGCGATCATCAACGGACCGTCGTCTTTACAATTCATCAACCTCAGAGTAACATCATCGCACTTTTTGATCAACTCGTCCTCTTAGGAAGAGGCGGTCGACTGGTTTATTCTGGTGCCTTCAAAGAATGCCATGAGTATTTTAAGGCGATTGGACATCCTTGTCCAGTCGGATATAACCTCGCAGACTTTCTGATTGACTTGACCATGAAGCAGCGTCCCTCGACCATCACTGAGAGCGAACCAGGCGTCCAATCAGGTTCTTCAGGTCACAATTCTCTCTTCGATTCCGCCGACTTACCTAGAGTGAAGGCGGTCAAACTGAATCATAAATCAGTGCGTGGTGAATCACCGGATGAGACTGAATTAACGACACGAAAGATGTATCATGAGCCAACAGGTTCATTACGCGTACCCAAATCAGCTGACCGACTTCGACCATCGAGTAAAATTCTACAATCCCTCTCGTCCCTCTATTCACCCGCAAGTACTCATAGAGAGTCGGAGGAGGATGAGGATGACACTAAACTGCTGGTCGAATTGGAGGGAGCATTCTCAGATTCAAAATTGACTAAACAATTTAGGACAGAATTGGATCAAGCGACTGGGGCGATGGATGTTAATGAAAGCTGGTTGAATGGAAATGGAATAACACCTAAAGCAAGTCTTTGGCAACAGTTTAGGATTTTGAGCGGAAGGGCTTTCAAGAACTTGTATCGGAACCCGATGTTGATGTTATCACATTACTTATTAGCTATCGTACTTGCAGGTTAGTCATCTTTAGTTGCTTCGTTTGTGGACCTGATCGGATCAGCCCTGTTCTCACTTTCTCAATTACTCTAGTGATCTGTGCAGCCTTGTTTCACGACGTCACAATGGATATTGGAGGATTTCAAGGCCGAATGGGGCTATTCTTCTTTATTTTAGCCCTCTTCGGTTTCTCATCACTCACTACTATCACTATCTTCTCCGAAGAACGATTGATCTTCATGCGTGAAAGATCTAATGGATATTATTCACCTGTCACATACTTTATTTCAAAAGTGATTTTTGATCTGATCCCACTTAGGATCGTACCGCCCTTTATCTTAGGTTCAATAATTTATTATCCAGTAGGATTAGTTGCTAGTCTTGAACAATTTTGGAAGTTTTTATTAGTTTTGATTGCATTCAATCTTGTGGCTGCTAGTTTGGTGATGTTGATTAGCTTGATGGTAGCAGATGTGGGAGTAGCTAATCTATTGGGTAGTTTGATGATGCTCTTCAAGTCGGTGTTTTTTCCATCTTCTTTATCATCATTTCTTTGAAAGATATCTGATTGAGGAACCATGATTTTTTTAGTCTTTTGTTCGCGGGACTCTTGGTCAACAGAGAGAAATTACCAACGGGAACTGCTTGGATTCAAGACTTATCCTTCTTTCATGCTGCCTTTGAGGCATTGTTGGTAAACGAAGTTAGGTATTTGACTTTGAAGGATCATAGATATGGAGTTGATATTGAAGTACCATGTATGTTGCTGTTTTCTTTCGATATTTTTACTTTAACTTGATAAAGGCTGAAGTTTATCTTTTTACCTTTTTTAAAACACTTAACAGCCGCTAGTATCTTGTCATTGTTTGGATTTCGAATCACAGCTTTTTGGTGGCCAGAGTAAGTTTCTGTTTTTATATTGTGATGATAGCTGGTCAGTTAATGATGATGTGTGTTTCAGTATGGCGATCTTAGTGGGAATGTTTTTGATTGCCATGGCAGTCTCATGTTTGGTATTGGTAGTATGGGTAAAAGAACGTAGGTAGTTGAAAAGTTGAAGAAGGTGGAAAAGGACAAAAGAAGCAGGCGCGGAATGAAGCTCGCAATGTTGTAGTAGTATATAGCATCATTTGTTCTTGTTTGTATTTTTAATCAGTTACGTGTGGGTGGGTTTTTTTAAACTATCTTAAGTAATTATTATTTGGTTATTGGTCCAGTAAGTTCTTAGGTTCATTGTGAAGACAAGCAGTTTTAGGCCATCTTCCTACTTGAAAAAAAATCTGTAAACTTCATACTTTACTCAATCCGGTATGGTGATTGGGTTGTACATATATGAATGAATCAAGTATAGGTTTGTAAGATAGATAATGATTTTGTCTTATAAGATTTAGAAGTGTGTAGTAAGAGTAAGCATGTGAGGCGTTCAAGAGTCTTGGTGAAACTTGCTTACGTTTCTCTTTGTATGTCCGGGATAGTTTCCATGTTCTTTGTGAACTCTCCATCAATAAGTTTGATTGTTTTCACAATCATGATACACATTAATACGTGTCAAATTTAGTAGACAATTTTAACCAGGAGTATGAGTGAAAAATTGACTTGGAGAAACTTGCATATCTAAGTGGGCACTTCAATGATTTCAAAAAATGGCTCATGGACCAACTTATGTATCCTTGAGGTCAGACTCTCTCGTGTGGGCCAGTTCCACTTCATTAAGAGTATTCTGGAAGGTATGTGGTCTCAGCAAGCTATGTCTAGGCGCTCCCCTGGGCTCGCCCAATTCAAAAGGTCTGACTGCTCGAATCCAGCTGTTTGGACAATTGAATCTATCGCCTTTTCTGAAGAGGTTCCAGCTTTTTTTGTGGCAAAATACGATCGGAGGCCCGTCGGGGTTTTCCGTCTGGTGAGGGTTAACTCCAACTGCTCTAGTACGAGCCGGAATGATCGTGCATAAAATAAGTATAATTCTCATTCAAGCAATCAACGCAAACAAAGTCATCAACAAATATAGAACAATAGATCAAGATACAAATTTATGCTTTAGCAGCTTGGTTTACTGACTTGAGAAGTAATCGAGAAGGGGTATCGCCACTGGCGTCAAATACATTCACACCTGCAACTCCCTTGGATTTTGCATACTTAACCTTCTCTGTCAAAGAGGTTGGGTCGTCATACGCAATGAGTGTCTTGGTGGATGGGTTGAAGAGAAGTGGCTGTAAAATCAAAATCAAAACAGGTTGGCAAAAAAATCAGCATCCACTCTGCAATTCTCGAATCTAAGAATATGTTATGGACTTACAGTTTGAGTACAGTTGTCATAGTGGCGTTCGAATCCTCCTTGTCCGGTAGCGGCATCGGGGGTTAGAAATCCACAGGTCAGCAAGTCTTTAAAGATGAAGTTACCTCCTTCCAATGGGCTGTCGCATCCGGTCGGAGTAGGGGCAATGTTCTTCACATTTTGAGCCTGAGCTGCCTTGTCAATGGCACCAAAAAACAAACTGTTTTCTTTACCTGAGAAGTTAGTTGGGTCGAGCGTTGAGCTTGATAACGTGTACTGATAGCCGTATGCAGGAATACCTAAGAGGATTTGGGACGCGGGAAAGCCAGTTGAAGTCCAGGTGTCAATAGCTTGAGCCACCGAGAATTTATAGCTAGGGTCATTGCAGGTGTCAAATAGCGGAGCTCCAGGTCCAAAGAGGGGAGTGACAACCGGGAGGTAAATATCGTAGGCCATGATAGTGATGAAATCGAACAACTTAGCGTATTCTTTGTGGTCCTTCAAGTATTGTCCGTCTGGTCCCATGAAACCATGTACGGAGACTGCGGCTGTGAGCCTCTTGGATCCAATGGAAGCACGGAGGGCAGTCAAGAACTTGAGCAAGTTAGCAGAGTCGTCTTTGGATATTATATTACCCTCGTTTCCTGGGGCGTTCGGATACTCCCAATCAAGGTCCACACCGTCAAAGTTATACTTAGTCAACGTTGCGGCGATTGTCTTTGCGAAGGTCTCACGGCTGGAATCAGTGCTAACAAGAGAGCTAAAGTACTTGCTACCTGTCCATCCTCCGATCGTCAATGAAACTGTAACCTGATGAGCTTTAGCACCCGCAACAACCGCTTTCACATTTGCTTCGTTATCAAACACAAATTCAGCTGATGGGGATTCCGAAGTGACAGCCACAAAGTAATCGACATGGTTGTAAAGTTCCCATGGAATGCTTTCTGGAGGCAGCAAACCCGCTCGATAACCCTGTCGGAGATGAAAGAATAGATACGCCATGTCAGTCTAATAACTTGGTGTCTGAAGCTGGTAATGAGAAGAAAACTTACTGGATAGTAGCCCGAGATTTGAAAGCCCTGGGCCTTAGAAGCCTTTTTGCGGCACACTCCCGCGTTCAGAACGGTAGGGTGAGTGATCAAGGAGGTCAACAAAAGCGTAAGAGTCAGAGATAATTTAGAGTGCATGGTATTAGTGATCTTCTGTAGGATGATTTGGCTGGTGGTGATTTTCTTCGTAGAATGGTTTGGGCCAATTGTCGTACGTGTTCTAAGAGTTTGCTTGATGCGTTGGAGGGTGATGGGATGTGGACCTGGTTCAGAATATAGCCAGCTTAAATACCCATCCTGAGCACTTTGTGGAGAGCTTTTCACTCGAGCGTTGGTGACTTGATGGAAAGCATAAATCAAACCACATTTATGGTGGGATTAATCGGAATGTCTTGAAATTGGCAGATGTCTCTTTTGACACACTTTCACTTTTTCACCATTTCGGTTCAAGAATCTCAAAAGCTCGAGGTTCCTTTTCACTTGGCATTTCATTGCATTATGAGAAAACCGGCTTTTCAGATTCAACATTATTCCGATAATATTCCGATAAATGAATTAAATCGATGTATGTGTACTTTGATCCCAGACTTTCCAGATGATGCCTTTTGAATAGGACAAGGAAACGCAGAAATCGTCTGGATTTGTTTATGCTGTAAGGTGCTTATCACAAGTACAGCATAGAAATGATGTGAGTCCCATGAACTCGATCTCAAGACACCATCACATCAGTTTAAGAATCTGGCAAGATCCCCTCCATTGAGCTGCTCAAAAGTAGCAGGTGCTTTCAATGAAAAGTCCATCGGGTGACTTTTTGTCAGTCTGAGAAGAAGCATTTGATTGAACGCTCAATTAGCACGCCTTCTTTGCCATGAAAGCTTTTCCCCATGCTCGTGAAAAGAGTGTGGAATGTGATGCGCCCCTCTGCTCCAGCCTTGACTTACTCTAGTGTTCCATTGAACAAAAGCTATAAAATGAGAACCATTGCTTAAATTCCTCACATAATCCACCAACGCAGCTCCACATCTAGAAGGTAGTTAGATCACAATCTCATCATCAACAATCCAGAAACTCATGAACTTACTCACATCAAGATCTACGCCAATGCATATCAAGATGAGAGTGACTAATCGTGTTCGTAAATTTTTCTCGTCAACTCATTTCAACATACAAGTTCAACCCAAAGAAGTCAGTGATGGCTCTGATCGTCCAGTCTCACCAATCTCTATAGCTACAGTCAAATCACCCCAAGAAGATGAAGTCCTCCCTTCAAGTTCAGAAGAGCTTTCAACTGAAATCACGACCTCTGACAAGGAAATCCTTTCAACTGAGATCACGACTTCTGACAAGGAAACTCAAGAACCTGAAGTGATTGGGAGTTTTTCTAAATTACTTGAACTACATGGGAAGACATTACTCGAAGCTCAATCATCACCTATTGATCTTTATCCATCAAAAAGAGCTAACCTACCTAAATTTTCTGAGCTTGTCTGGTTTAAAACATTTAACTTCATTTGATATGGAGATACTAAATTTGTCAATTTGATCTAAGTTTGTTGAACATAAAGGAGCAATGAATAATATACTTTGTTGGAAATTATTGTGCGACTTGCAGAATCCCTGCTGACATGGATATCTGTTTGATTTATTTTCACTATCATCAAGTGAGTGCAAAGTGAATTCACTCTTCACATAGTATTCTACGTAAATTTGGTATTGGGAAAGCACCAACACTATCCTCCTGGATGATGGTAAAAGTTCTTGGCTTCCCTACGTATGTAAGGGTGCAGGGCAGGACCACCTAACACTGGGGCAATTATTGTGTCACATTGCAATATGTGCAAGGGCCCTGCCCCCTTCGACAAAAACCTGGAATGTACTACATGAGCTATATTGCTAGCATAGGGAAATTTAGACAGGTCATCTAGTTGATGTTAAATAATTACGCAATTGATTCAAAATATGATATTGTGCTCATGGAAGCTCTTTTAGTATCACATGAAATGTCTCTCTACTTCCGCACAAGACCTCTATCAAGGTGGTGCCTATAATCTAAATCTATGTTGCTGCGATGCATTTCTAGGTGGTGGTAGAGATCAAATGTTCTTGATAGAAAAAAGCACAATCTTACAATTCCTTGACCTCTACGGTTGGCTCACACATACACACCTAGAGAAACTGCTCATGGATTTTGAGAATTTGACATCTTTGTTGTTTGTATAGCCAAAAGGAATCAGAAAAAAAAGTAAAATAAACCAGATAAAAATCTTTACAATGACTTTTGAGCTTTGAGAAGTTGACGCTGTTTCATCCTTCCAGCTGGACCCTTCATACATTGTTTTAATAATCGATCACCTTTTCTTAACTTAACTTGTTGAACTTGAGGCAGAACGGAAGAAACACTTTGCTGTACAATACTAAAATCTTTCTCTTGCTTACTTCTAACTTTTTCAGGTAAGAGTAATCGTCCAGCTTGATTAAGTTCAAGTTTTTTCATATAGATTGATTTGATCATTTGATATTTCATACTTTGAATCGCTTGTTCATCTCCTTTTAAACTAGGTTGAAGATCTTGAGTCTTTGATAAATCATTATTCCAATTTCCCATTGATTCTCGAAATGATAAACCACCTGCTCTTAAGAGTACCATTTCTTTGATTGATTCATTGTTTAATGGACTTGAATCGAATTTGAATTCATCTAACATCTTCATTCCAGCTTCTGAACTTGAACATCCTTTGAACTTTCTCAAGAGTTCAGAAACCACTTCTTTATGTTCATCAGAGAGTGAGTTACTTTGAGAGATTCTAGAAGTGCTAGAAGGGTATGCAAGATCTCCATCTGCTATCCGAACTGACATTGATGCTAATGTAGAATTAGAGCGACGTTGGTGTCTTGAATGGGGATGAGAAGGAGTCGAATCTGATTGAGAGTAGGGTGAGAGTATAGAACTCCGAGGGAAATGTTTGGCTTTTCGTTTTGAGATTGGTTTGGGTTGGCGTGGGAAATTGGAGACGTCTGTGAAGACCATGGGGACTTTTTTCGGTGGATTGGAGATGTAACAGGAAGGAGGTCGAGGTACACCATCTTCTCCGTATATGTGCTGCAAATCATCCAGATACAAATGTTCGATATGAGAATGATGGTTCTGAGAGATGACAAGAGAGATATCCTTTCAAACAACTCACCCTTTCTGGTGAAGGAATGTCGTCTTCTTGATACTTTTGACGCCTTGGCTTGGAATCACTACTTCCCTCAGCACTTGTTTCGTGAATGATAGGTGATTCGGGAATTGGTGAATCGAGAGGAACAAATTCGAATCCAAAGAATTTTGATTTCTTCATCAACTTCCTATTGGAGAATTCATTCACATCTTCATCTACTATCTTAGACAAATTACGATTAACACCTAATACATTTTCCATTCCTTTTTCAAAGTTCAATTGGAGTACTTTTTGAGGTTCTTGATTTGATTGATTTGGAAGTGACCATGATTCTTCTAAAGCTTTTAATTTGATGATAGCAGAAATTCGATCTTTGGAGATACCCCATTGTTCGGATGTTTGTCGAATTAAGATTTGTTCTTGAATTTTAGTTTGAGCGAGTGACATGTTGGGATCGTTGGGTGGCATTGAATTGACTCGACTTTTGAACGATTCGTACACTTTTGTTCGAACACCATCCCACAAAGGTGCCTTAGGTTTGAACCACGGGTTTGTTGGGAATGGCTTTTTGACAAAACAAAAGTAAACCAGACTTGAGTCATTCTTCATTCAAGTTGATAGATATATCAAACTCACCACATCATCACCTAACCAGTTTGTACCACCGATCACCGGATCTCGAAACCTACGTCCTTCTTCACTATTTAGCCATTCTATGGGACTCATCTTGGCTCCACCTTTGTTTGCTCTTCCACCTCTTCTTTTTGTCAGACTAGAAAGCAAATCATCATCATCTTCAGTTCCTTCTGGTTTCGTAAGATCTTTTGTTTGAGCATTTATTGAGATCAGTCTATTAGATACGAGATTAAGTTGAGCATGTCGATAAGTATTTCGGATCAGGTTTTGCCGTGTGCTGGTAGAAGGGATTGGAAACATTTTGAAATGAGTGTGAATTTAAATTCCGACTTGAAGCTTGCTTGGATCTAGATATTTCTTATGCGAACCTCAACATTTAAACGTAAATCAGTTCTATCTTGTTCTTTGTCAACTCTTGTGAGAATATACAGCAGCGATGTTGACTTTTTGTTGTTGAGTTGGATAGGGCGGGATGACAAAAGTTGTGTCGTCAAATGAAACGATACAATTCCAAAAATTCACATCGACAGTCACTGCGGAATTTCAAATCGGTGGTCACCGGTATGGTGTTAACTCGATTCAGCTATGGGATTAAACAGGTTATATTTTGACGGCACAAGCTGAACTTCCTGAAGTCATAAACGGACTTCGAAGCACACAACCACCAGATGACTGGGGAAAATAATGGCTCTTATATGTAGTCGATGAGCACCCAAAAATATCATTTACGCTCCCGAACATGAAACTCATAAGTGGTAGGGAGCAGTTGCACATCCCCAATAGAAAAAAGCTGGAATTTCCAATGATGCTCAAATCATGATGCTAGGAGAGTTGTAATCTGGAGCCTGCAGGATCAATTCAAGTTACAGGGATATATTGGTGGCCTTGAACAGATAAATATCACAAGACACGGTTCCCCAAGACATGAAGCCCTCAAGGATTTATGGGATTAAATGATGCAATTGCAAGGTAAGGAGTATGTTATTAATATGGTCGGCTGAGAAATAGTCAGGTTAGTTGTCTGACTTTATTTTGAGCTCCTTACAGTGATCATGAGGCGCGCACGATAAACAATTGGGGTTCTGAAGAAAGAGATGGTAATATTGAGGTTTTCTGATTCTGAAGTCTGTTGTACCACACAGTAGCTATAATTGGTAGGGCCTTCACTGAGATTGCGGAAATTCAAGACAGCAGGGAGGGAGAGAATCTAGGATGAAAGAGTGTGACCGGTGACTAAAAATTGACCAGCTCAAAAGAGGAAGTTTGGCAAAAATTGGAAGTAGTGTCTAAATAATTGCATCAAATACCTTGCGGTCAAGATATACTGTACTCAGCAACTTGGGGCTGCATGTCACCTGTCTATACTTGTGCCAATGTGGAATCTGAGCTATGTTTTCACCCATTTCTTCTAAACTTAATCAAGTCCTTTGCCCTTGGGGTAACTCAGGAAAGGGACTTACACCAAACTTGCACAGACTGATTGCTCACTGTCAGATCTTTTGCAGGAGTGATTCTTGCAATCCCTCCAGAAGATCTCCTACCAAAGATTCTTTTCTAGAGCAAAGACAAAAAGTGTGTGCTGAGTTCTTGCACATATTTTGTGCTATTTTTTGTCAAGGAAGTCCATTCCTTCTTGCACTAAAACTGGCTTGAAGATTGGGTTTCAAAGGCCAAATATTTAGACTTGAGAAGGACATTACATGTGTGATATACCATAAAAGACCAGTCTTTGAGACACTTCTTAGGCAAGAGGGACTCAACTTCCTTGGGAAATGATAGTGTACTGTATGTGCCAGAGGAATACACACAAATTTTCTTGCACCATGTGGTAATCAGGGAGATGTGTAGCCGGCCTGCAAGGAAGCTCCTTAAAATGTTTTTATTGGTGAGCAATGACTTTGTGTGAGTCTGGCGTAAGTCCCTTGCTTGACAACTTGCAAGGGGCAAGTGTGGGACTTTGTTAAGTTTACATTTTTTCTTTGTATCCTCTTTTTAATCCATGCCTAATTGACTTCAACATGTTTTTTTGGGATCTCTGTTTGATTTCAGGATTTTTTTTTGACCAGTTGCCTATGTTATAGTAAGGGATTCACAGAGCAATGCTGGTTTCCCTTCTTGTTAGTCCATTTTCAAAATGCCACTTTACAGCCCGTTTTTGAAAGTCCTTTGGATATGTAGCTCTAGTTTCCATTGTGACTGCCACTTCATTTGATCTGTATGCTTCTTGCCTCTCACTTCATTTGGTCTAGATGCTTCCTGCCTCTCACTTCATTAGATATGGATGCTTCTTGCCTCTCAGCTGCTTTGACAAATCTGTATATTGACCGCACATTGATATTGAAATGATTTGCTGTTTTTTCCTTGTCATGGCCATGTTTCCTATACCAGTCCATCCTGGTTTCTCTCAGTTTAGTTCTCTTCTTGAGATGGGAGCTTATTTAAAATCATTGACATACAATAAATCAAATACCTACCAATACTTCTATATGATCACAGAACAATCACATATATCTGAGTATCTGTTTGTTATACTTTCCATTTGTGTTATTGTATATTTGGTAGACTTTCCTTTAAAATTTTGTGCGATGTTTTGTCCTGTTAGGTTTTCCCTTTCATTTCTTGTTTGTGGTCAGATTTATCATTTCATAGTTTTATTGACATCAATCTTTTTTTCAATCTATAAGACATCACATCATAAGACTCTAAATACAGAAACATATATTATCATTTCTTCTTTGATAGAGATAGTGGGAATCTCCTTGATCCTGAATTAGTTTCTTTCACCAAGTACATATTTGTGTTGATCTTGTTTTAGGTATGAATGATTCATATATGTTCTTCAGATTCTCTTGAAATGTTTTTCTCTTTTACTGATTTCTTGTTTGAGTTGTTTCAGCATATTTGTGTTTTGTTGCTGCAATAATAAAGATATTATAAATCTCAATTTGTTTTGTTGCTTATATGTGCAAAGTCTTCAACACTGCTAGCCATAGGAACATCATGATGTATATAGAGCACCAGTGTCTTGAGTTTCAGAGCAGTCCCAATCAGGCTCTGTCAACTCCTCTTGCAAACCCATCCGGGTCTTGATCTCAAAAATTGACGGTCTTTCGAGACTTGCGGGACTGCTCGTGCTAGCAGTCAAAGCAAGAAGTTTATGAGGCAACTCTTGCTTTAACTCCTTGGGTGGCAAAGCATCTTTGTCCAAGTCTGGATGTATAAAATTCAAAAGACAGGCGTAAGAATTGACCTTTCTTTGCAACAAAGCTGAGGTTGCTGAAATTGCTAACCTTCTGATACAAAGATCTGAGGATACTTTCTGTTTGACTCTCGGACACGACTGGGGATATGATTTGAGATAGAATCCTGAAGTTCAGTCACGCCTTGAGGAGAATGCATTTCCGTAGTACTTTTCGCAGATCTCCCCGGGCTTGTTCCAGGCTGACTCGTCTTCAAATTGTCACTTGATGAAATTTCAAACATTTCGGAAGACAATCCCTCGGAACAAATCCTCATACGTTTTGACCCGGGAACACTCTTACCCCAAACTTCCTCTGATTCATAGAGTTCTGTTAACAAGCGTGTCTTGGCTTCGCGGGCGGGGATTCTGCATGAATTTGAGATATCAGGACCGCCAGATTTTTTTTCTTCCATGCCAGCTTGTGGTTGGTTTGACCTTTGGTCACACATTTTGAAATCAGAAGTCCGGACAGATGGTCGAGGTATTGGGCTTGAATTTTGGGCAGTGATATGTTCCAGTCCTGCATTTAGACTAACACTTTTGTCGTGACGATTATGAATCGGATCTTTCATCGCATTCGTCTCTATTTTTGTTTCGTCTATGTCTGGTGGCGGCGGTGCATTGAGATCAAAATTAAGTATCCTGCCACTCATGCTTTGTAAAGCCTCGCCTTCATTTTCCCCTGCGGCGAATGCGTCACAAAAACCCTTGAGGAGCAAAAAAACGATCGAAAGCTTTCCTTGATTCAGCATCATGATGGTGTGATGCTCTTTGCAAATATTGGGTGGAGTGGCCAATGGTCAGAAGCTTCAAGCAATTTTCAACTGCAAGTAAAGAGATTGGCTCAGTTGATTTCCTGGTCTCGCTCTAAAAAGCTATCTTCACATGCCAAACGAGTTGACCAAGCTCCTGTGTGTGGAAGTCAAGTAGGTTGCTGATACATCATATAACTTAAGGCACGTCTTATATCACTGACACATGTTCCAGCTGTGCTTCTGTTGAGTCATTGGACACTGTCAGACAGTATCAGCTCTGAATCTTGATAAAAAATGAAGAACAGTGTGGCAAAAGTTAAAAATGTCAAAATTGTTTCATGAGGAGAAATTGTGGTTCACTGACACAATCAGATGCTGATTGGAGGTTTATGGCGCTCTGAAGCCACAGCTTGAATCTTGCAACATACCATAGTCAACACAGGAAAAGCTGTGTTCATTAAACAAACAGACCACAGTCATTCAGAGAAGAATTTCAGCTAGTGGGAGGGAATTAACATTGAGGATTACAAACAAGATGATATGGATCATGAAGGAGTTGATTCTGTTTTGTACCATTTTACAAGGCAAAGTTTTCACGCTGGTATGCAGTTACGGAGCATAAATAATCCGAAGGATCAAAGAGATCTGTGAAGAGGTCAGATCTAAAGGTGACTTTTTATCAAAGAAATATCAAGATACCACCACAACAGACAACATAGGTAAAAAAATAACTGACTAAAAGCTTAAAGGAATTCCTAAAGAGCACACCGTGTATGGATGATCTTAGAGTGGATAGCATGAATTCTTATATACATCAAAGCAAAACTGAAACTCAAGAGAGACCATTAATTTTATCAAAAGGAAAAGTACATGTTTTATAGGACCAACTTCACAAAGGTAAAGAAAACACCTACATAGAGAGATTATTTTCAACAAGGGAAACAAATCAGATTTCAAAAGATGAATCAATCAACCTAGTGAGATTTCCCGCTGTTTCTTTGCAACACCACTCACTAAGAATCCTCCATAGCCAAACATTCTGCATCAACCATCTTGAACCAAATCTAAAACTACAGTCTCTAACTTCAAGATCTTTGGCTGGCCCAAGATCACATACCTTGATACCTTATGACCTGGCCATCACCTCACTAGTCATGCCAATCCAGAGTTCAATGAATTTGTCCTCCTGTTCCCCTCCTCCATTTCTTTGTGTTAGAGTATGATTTCATTCTTCTTTTGTACTTCTGTTGAATCAGTTGATATTTGTTGAGTTTTGAGGTGCTTCCAGGTTTGAAGATGTGCAACCAAGATCTTAAGGTAGAGGTAGGGATTTCAAGAGCAAGAGCACTGTCTTTCGGGGAAAGTCCATGCTCAAAATGCCATTTTACTGCCCATCTTTTATACTCTTCTGGGTACTCAGACACTTTGTTTGTCATATGATCTTTTGGTAAGGTAGACCTGGAGGCCTTTTGTGTATCTAGCAATCTGACTGCAGCTATAAATTTTCTTACAGTTCTTGGATTAATTTCAAAATGTCTGGCTGTTTTTTCCTGGGAAACACCATTATCTCTATACCAATCTACTACCTTTCTTCTGAATTCAGCTTGCTTATTTATTAAATGTTCTTGAGTTATATTGGCAATTTCTTCAACACTGCCGGTGAAATCCTTGTGCTCTTGAGTCAGATTTCTGTGAGCTTCTTGGGGATCATGGTTGTTATCATGGTCCCTGTTGGGATCTTCCAAATTCATTGGTGTACTCATGTCTTTGATTTCCCTGGTTTCAGAACCTTTTAGTGGACTTCTGCCATTAGAAGTTGATGCAAGTGACTCATTGCACAACCTATCTTCCTTGTATTCTTTTGCTGTTGCCTCAGCCTGTGTACAATATCCTTTTGAAATTATGAATATTTTGTGTGAAGCCACATACACATACAAGGATGTAAGATGTGAGTTGACTTTGTACAAACACTAAAGCCACATAATTGACTAACCTTGTGATTCAATGCATTGGATGTCTGTAAGTTGCTTTGTCAATTGCTGATCATGATTAGAATTTGAGATGCATCTATGAAGCATGGTTGACTGTTGAGGGAAAGCTGCCTCTTTTTCTTTCTCACATCTCCTCAAGCTTGTTAGAGAGTCATTTTTCTTTGGGCCTATGATTAGTGAACTTTTACAATTATTGAAAGGTGTCCTGGGGCCAAATGATTCATAGGGCGACACCTTTTTCTGAGCTATTTCTGCAGATGGCTGTACCCAGTGGACTCTTGGCACCAAAGCGTTTATGTCTGCACATTCTGTTGAAATGCACAGTGTGCCATTACTTTTCAACTTGGTCTTCAACTCTTCATCATGATTAGAATTTGGGATTGATCTGTGACATTTAGTCAAATCTTGAGGGAGATGCATCTCTGTTTCAGTCTGGTTTGAACACGTGTACCCGTTCT